GGATATCAAGATTATTCTGGATTATTCTCTTATAAAATATTCAGTATTTTTTCAATCACTAGATTACCAAAATTAAATTGTAAAATTGTAATGGATATCGAGCGTCAAAAAAAAAAATCAGAAATAACTTAACGCTTCTGTTTTTTCCAACGTTATTCGTTAAAATAAAATTTTGCCAAAAATTAAATTCCCTATCAACGAAAATCTACCTCTTCCTCGATTCGTTATTCGATTTGGTGCTAAATTTATTTAACTACAAGGACGGCGACATTTCCCGATTATGTGAAGTTTCAATTACTGGGCCGCGTATAAAGCCCCATGAATATTTAATGGAAATTTCGATCTATCGGAAAAGTTACTTTTAGCGTAACGATATTTGCGCGTATACCGCACTCTAAATATGCCATGCGGGCTAAAAATTTCGATAAAATCGATGTTTTTCGCGAATAGATGCGTGAAAAAAAAAAAGAAAAGAAAAAATGATAAAATATTTTGGAACGCTTTAATAAAATTTAATAAAATAAAGCGTCTCAAAAATATATTTCGCCATTTTCTCCGTCGTGCATTTGCCCCACGATTATGCATTCACTTGGTTATATTTTTAAGAGCTTCATATAGTGTTCTCTCAAATTTATATTTCTTTTCAGGATTTTTATATGCTGTTATGGTAGTCTGATGTTTGCAATTACGACACGTCATTCTTCTTCTTCTTTTTTTTTTTTTTGTTTTTGAAATAATGCAAATTTTATAACGATTTCATAAAATTTTCAGTTTACAGGGTATTTAAAGTTAGATATTTTATTATATGGAAAACCAATAAATCGTTAACTGTATTAATTAAAAAGAGATCGGTAATTTAATCTCCGTATGAACACCTTAGCAACTCGAAACGTAGCATTACCTTTTCGTTCTGTAATTATAATTATCCTGAATAATATTGAATCTCGACGTCAAGCAATTGAACTCGTTTTATTCTAAGATAAGATTACAAAATGTGTAATATAAATACTGGAAATAAATATGTATACACATAAAGATTGCTATTTAAATTTATATTTTTATATCAAATGAAAAATTAAAGAATAAAATTCACGTAACAGAAAGGAAAATTTGTTTCTGTTATAATATACATATAGATATAATGTTAAAATAATTTTTCATTTGTTAGAATAAAATTTGATAGATAAATAGATATCTAAATATTGATTCTCATATTATCGATAAACAAAAATTAATTTATCAAAATGAAATTTAAAATAATTAGACATAATTCAAATTTTATGATTATAATAAAAAAATAATTTCTCGATACGTCAAAACGAAATTTATAATATACAATTAGATTTTCACCCGTATCACATCAT